GTCCCCGGTAGATGAACAGTCAGTCCCACGCTAAAAATAGCGTGGGGCTGTGCTATTAGAACAGGACTGGCGCAGGCCCGACTTTGGGAAACGAACAGTGAGTCCCGTGCTAAAAATAACACATGACCCTATTTTAATTATTCGGGCCTGGCTGTTCATCTATATGGCTACTTAGGGCTGTTCCTTTCCTGGCCAGGTTACGCGGTTGTGTCGGTCCGGTCCCAACCGGTCTAACTTGAATATCTCACTAACCCTTGGTCCGTTTTAGGTGCCGTTTGGACCGGACCCCACTAATTAGCCCATTGCGGTCGCATCGGTCGAGTCCAACGAGGAAGATCAGGTCTCCAGCGGACCGTACTGTCGCGCCGTCTTTCTCTCGGTTTCGGCCCAGGGGAAGTTTAACCAAAGCGCTAGGGTCCATGACTGCGGACGCAATTTTGACGCTGCGCGGGAGTTGATTGTGGCGAGTCAATTTCTGCTGTTGTGCCGCATCATCTTCCGACAGCGGTACGGGTCTAAGCTTATCACATCTGTGATACACAGGGGGTTCCGACAAAATTAGCAATCTCCCGACTGCTGAGGTCATCATGTCTTAGATGATTAGGCGGCCTCTTCATCGTCAGCTGGCCCGATCATCTTCCTAATCTACGTGGATGCATCTTGCATCCTCCATCACCTCCTCCCATAGTATATATCCGATCGGGCTGCCCCTTTTTTTTTTTTTTTTTTACACAGCGCGTCTCGACGTGCAAACTTTGGGCATAGGAGAAGAAGGTGATGAAGAGAAGGAGAAGGAGAGAAGCGGGGAGAGATAGACAAGGGTGATCAGAGGAAGTGATCGATGTCGGGATTGAGAGGGGGCGAAATAGGTGGAAGAAAAGTGGTCATTGCCGCGGGAGTCGTCAGCGCATCTTCCTCCTGGAAGTGGTGCTGGACAAACGAGGGATAGAGGAAGGCCCCCGGCACATGAGACAAGACACGTGGCGCCAGATCCGCCACCGCTCGCACCACCCGCTTGCGCACCGATCGGGGCCCTGGACCCGTCATCACCACATGAGTCTCGGTGTAAGGCCGCCGCTCCCGCTTCTGCGCCGCGAAGACAAGGAAGTGGTACATCACATTGGGACGCTGCCCAGTCTCGTAGATGAGCGTCCCAGCCAGTCGCGCCGCAATACACCCTTGAAAAGGGGGTGTCAGATATGGCTCCCACGCCGGATCAGGGCGAGGCGCCCCCGCGATGGCCTCGAGCCTGATGGTGATGGGCTCCACCATGAAATCCACCTCTGTCGGATGGACCGTCCGACTAGAAGGAACTGCTAATGTCAATGATCGGGGCACCCCGGGGTGGCTGGCGGAAGCGGAGAGGTCGCGCGAGGACGGGGGGTCTGGATATGGGATCCGGTATTCCCATTCGGCTTCCTCCCCCGGCTGCTGCTGCTGATGATGGCCCGGCTCCATCAAGATTGAGATCGGGCACGCGCGGGAAGGACGGCGATGGCACGACAATCGCCTTAACAAGCGTCGCCTCACTCCCAGGCGCGGGGTCAAGATTCCGCGTACGCGCGGGCTGAATCACCTCCTCGCCGCCACCGATTCTGCTGCCTTGCGCTCCTGGCGACGGGTGGCGTCTCTTCCTCTTTGGCGTCTTCTTGGGGGCCTTGGGTGGTGTCGGTCGGGGATACGACAAGGGAGGCCGCAACGGCTTTTCCTCCAGGAAGTCCTCCAACCTCTCCGCGTGCCGCGCAATGTAATCCGGGATGACGACCGCGTTGTACGTTCTCCGTGGAGCCGTCGCCGTCCTCAATTGTGGCTGGATCTCCTCTTCCTCGCTCGCGATCACTTGCGCAATGGAGAGGAGCTAAAGATGTATGAGCTCCAACAATCCCGGATCGATCATCTGGAGCTGGGCGAATGAGTACAGCGCCACCGTCCCCTCCTTCTGCGCCGGCTTGGGCCGTGTGATGACGTAGTAGAGGACGAAATGCTCCCCGATGCAGTGGTCTTCGTGATCCACGAAGAATCGGAACATCCCCAACGCCACCGACTTGTACAGCGCACGGTGCAACTCCCATGCGTGTTCGTCTGCGAAGGGCAGCGGTTCCACGTCAGTTAGCTCCACCAGATACTCCGAGAACTCGCCCATAGGATAAGGGCCCTCCGTGAGTTGATAGGGGAGAGTGGTGTAAGAGAAGAAGGGAGGCATTTAGTACGGGGCACGGGGAAGAGCTTGGAAGTTGAGAGGGGCAGCGGGAGGAAGAAGCGCGGGGAGCTGCGACACCAACGCGATCGGTCCATCCTCTGCCTTGCGCAGCACTGCGCAGCAGCGTTTCGTGGGCTGTGAATCGGTGTCCCCCCCCGTCCTTGCACTCTAGCCACCGATCTGGCCGCCTGCACCACGTACTCACGCACAAAACTTCGCGCCAGCTCCCGACTCGACGGTGGCAGGATCGTCTAGTCACCGATAAAGGTGGCGAGTCTGGCGGCGCTATGCACGAAGTTGGCCACCTGGAGCGTGCGGAACTCGATGAACACTCGAGTCGTCTCCCGCCCAGGCAACTGCGTCACGTCCACGTACACCCCCGCATACGTCAGCCGATCGCAAAGTAACGAGTACGCCGCCAGATCAGCAACCCCGGGCGCTGGCACGTTCATCTGCTGAATGTCGTACCGCAACTGCCTTTCCTTATTGAACTGATGCCGCAACAAGCGATCTGCAAGCGGCGTCTGGAAATGCTCGAGGGGCTTATGCTCCGGCTGGCGATGGTTCATCCTGCTCCCTGAAGCTCTCAGCACCAATGGACGAGGCAGATCGGGAAGAGGAGGAAGACGAAGAAGGAGAGGATGATCTCGCAAGAGCGGGGGTCCGTATGGGGCCTAGCGATGGCTGGAAGGGCCGGAGCACGGCAGCGTGCCGCGTCAGCGGTCGGGCCTGGGAGTTGTGACGGGGAATCAGCTTCACGAAGTGCTGTCCCTGTGCGCCAACTTCCGTTACCTCGTAAATGCCTGTGTAGCGCGGGTTGATCTTGGAGGAGCGCGCGGATTTCCGTACCTGCACCAAAAAAAAAAAAAAAAAAAAGGTATCATCATGGAATCAACCTGTCCACGAGGTAATTAAAGAATCTCAATGACTATAGCCCCAACACATGGTACTACAACGCTGTTTCCAAGGGGCGCTGGACCCAGTTTCCAGCAGGTGCCACTCCCCACCAATAGATGGAGCAGCCCACTAGCCAAGGCCTCCATCCCGGCGGTTCTCTTACCACCACCAGGATAGTGAACTTGTGAAAGGGCTTAAAAAAAAAATCTAGTTCCATCTGGAACCATCTGGAACAACATGAATGAGTTCCAGATGAATTGCACTGCATTCCAATTCTGGTCTGTTTTTTTTTTGTTTTTTTTTTCTTTTAATTTGTTATAAAGAAAACAAACCCTTCATCTTCTGGGTCGGAACCAGTCCGGTCACTTATCACAGGCGAGCAGTCACGGCCAGTCCACTCTGCCTCCTGTGTTCTGGGATGAGGATAGAGGATCTGCAACACGTGTTTACATTGCGAACTCTCCAGGCAACTGTGGGACTGGTGGAGATTGGGAGCAGCTCCGATCCCTCATCACGATACCAGATGGGGAGATGAGAATGTGCTGCTTGGTGCTGTGGCTCGAAGACAAAATGGGAGCGACCCCCTGACATACCCTGAGGAAAGCCTGAGAGGAGCTATCCTTTGGACCTTGTGGACATTGCAGAACTCGGCAGTTACGAGGGGGAAAGACTGACTCCGCCCATGATTCGTGCAGAAGTGAAATTCTCTTTTTTTTTTTTTTTTTCTTTTTCTTTTTTGCAAACATCTGTGGCAACCTGCTATCGGAGGTGATACTAGCATCCTCCAATAGCAAGCGCCAGTTTATAGATGGCTCCAATCTATTGGTGGGGAGCATCACCTCCTGGAAACCGGGTCCAGTGTCCCACTGACAAGATCGGAGACAACATACCTGGCGGAACAGCATTTGATTGCCCTCTCACGAGGGGATTGACTGCCCACCCAATTATCAGCCAGGTCACAGCATGTTTGAAGATGTAGCCATGGGGAGGGTAACAAACTGTCCTCCACTCTACCCTAATCCTTCACAGTCATAACCGTGCATAGCAAACCCTAGACCCCCTCCGTGCATAAGGCCGCTGCCCAGCTCCATGATTCTCATTTTCCTCCAGCGGAGGTCGTCTGCCTACCCTCCCTTATCCTAAGCTATTCACCCGGCAAAGACTATTGTCATGAAATTATTTTTGCCAAATTTCTGGCAGAGGTTAGTAACATCTGCGACATATATCATTATGTTTATTATTATTATTATCACACCTCTGCCATACATGCTCTTCCCCCTGCCATTTCGCCAACCGGAGTTCTGCCCATCCCTTATCGATTATTCCGTAGTTTGGTGCTCTATCCAATTGAGCTGCAAGCACATTCATTCGTCCCTTTCGTCTAGGGGTATAGGACATCGCTTTTTCATGGCGAAGACACGGGTTCAAATCCCGTAAGGGATATATATGATATGATATCTATCATATCAAAGGGCCAGGTCAGGCGGGTCACACTACCGAAGCCTGTCAGTTGCATCAATTTAATTAACAAAAAACAAAACCACACATATGCCTACAATGAATCAATTAATTTGTCATGGTACAGATGGTTGCCATAGAATGGTCCATGAAAGTGCAGAGCAAGGGATATGAGCCGGACCATCTGCGTAAGTTTCTGCAACACTGGGATGGATTTCCGGACCTGCTTCAAGCATACAGAAAACAAGGATCCCAGAGGCCAGAAAACATAATGTCTTAAACCACCAGTACCTTGCCCAGCTGAAAAACTCCGGCGCGGCCGTTAATAGATGGAGCTGCTCCCCAGGTGCTAGCGGTGTCTGCTCTTACCAGCACCACTGTCACTGGCGGGGGTGGTTGTTCCAAAAAAAAAAAGAAAAAAAAGTATTTTCAAGGAGGGTGAGAGGAACTAGTTCTTTAGCAATGGACATCCAGCGCCTGGTACTGGGCCGAAGAGGTTCTCCCCCCTCCCTTAGCAACCTGCACAGTCAATGCTCTGGTTGCCAGAGTAACCAAT